CAATATAGTATAAAGACTGCTACAATAAGTAAGTCATTAATGGTGTGTTCAGATGATTTTTTATTTTTCTTTTGTGGGGGGTTGATAAATAGGCTGATTGATATTTGATATATTGTATCATCACATATTATGTTTTTCTTCAATATTCCTAGAATATAGGAATACATCATGATATAATATACTTAGCCCTCCAAATCCCCCCTCCCAAGAACCTACTCCCACGCTGGCCCTAAATGAACTAGCAAGTACTACTTTCTGCAGATGCTGCCCAGCAGGGATATAAACAAATGATTCCCATGAAATCCGCCCCCCCATTATAACTCCTATAAATGCATTAGTCATTTGCCTCCAACCACCACTCCTAAAATCTATGTATTCCATATCAGGGTGATCTTCAAAAAGTTTATAAATAGATGAATAATAGGCACACTATGTAAAACTTTTTACTAGTGGCTAAGCATTCTCTATATATGCTCTGAGCAATTGCTTTGATGAGTTTGATCAATGGTCTCACAACTCTCAAAAAGCACCAGTGCATCCTCCCAACAAGGGAAGGTCGGATGGATGCAGCAACTGTAGAGGCTCTCATAGAAGTTTAAAATGCGTGAATCAACAGAGGATATTTTAAACTAATTTGTGTGCATTTCCAGGCCTAAGAAGGGTTGCTGTGCCAACTGAAAATTGCTATTGCGATGGACTTTGGACAAACCCTACACAAACTCTCCATTGGATATAAAAAGGGCATTAAAAGGTGCTAGAAGCAAAACAACGAACAAATTAAGATCTGCTATTGTTATCATTATAATATAATAAATTATCTTCCAAACAACATAGTAGCCAGCAATTTCATATACTCTTGTATCAAAAGGAGAGCTCAATGTTGGCATCAATTTTAACAAATACATACATATTACATTAAAATATACCTTCAAAATGTGAAATCACTTCTGATGGTGAGAAGCATACTTCAGCAAATGAGTCATACCCGATCAGAAGGCAAACCAAGTAAATAACCCCACAAGTAATAATAATAGTAGACGTGAAGAATGGAATGCCTTCCCACCAGTTGTTCAACCTTGTTTGTATCCCAGCCTACACACACATGGTATAATGGTTGGAAAAAGAACATGGATGTAAATTACTTATTAGAGAATGGATGGGATCAATTTTCAGTTCTCCCTATCAGTCACCTCAAAACTGGATAAAGATGGTTTCATGTAATCACGTTTAAAACACCTTCATAGTTACTTATGGTATTAACCTCTTCACTTGGAACAAATCAAAAGCTCACTGGGATGCTATAATTAAGGTATAGAATGTATTAATGGAGCAACTATCATTGATAGCATTCCTGATAAGTGCATTTTGAACTCAGGATACCACATTTCAAATGAATATAAAGAACAAAAAAATTACAAGTAAACCATGATACTTCTCATGAATTTTAGAGCAATGGAGATACATCCTATACTCTCACTTCTACACACCCAGTATTGAAAAGTCAAGGTGAACTAGGAGCTGTAAACGGAACCTACAACTTTAGTGGCTTCCGGTTTATATCAGGCTATCCCTCTCCTCCCCAAACGCATATTAGATGAAGGTAGATGGCAACTTTTATCCGGTTAGTATCAAACAAGTATTCCAAACTCTCATTTCAAGTTTATATGATTATTATACCACAGCAAAATATCTGGTACCAACTCAAACTCCATTTAATTATGATTATCAGAGCTCATACTGCCCAAAGACTCCATAAATCACGATATGTGGACAAAAGTTAGGACTTCAACTACGCTCAAACCCCAGGGCAAGCATTTCCACATACTTATATTCAGGACGTTTATGCAGAAATGGAAATACACGTACACAGCAGTTATCTACAAAGTTACAAAAAAAGAGCAAATACCTCAGAAACAATGTTCGGTCTCATTTCGCTGCGATGTTTTCTCGAGATTTCCACGTGAATTCTCTCTTGTTGCGACAACTTCCTCAGTTCCTCAATTGGACTGTGATGGTCCTAATGGAGAATCGGATCCAAACGAATCTTCGCGAAGTAAGGCCTCTCCGATCCGACTTCTATTTCCCATCGGTTTGCTGCTTATGAACCGGTTTGGTGAAGTGTATTTTGAAGGTGACAAAGACCCAAGTAATTGATATTACAGCCAAATCAAGTGAACATGTTTTCAAGGTGGTGTAGTGACTTATCTATGTTTTGTTTCATACTTCGTCCCTGCTAGAGTAAATATAATTCTTAAAAAATTGCCCATTTTCAGTAAATAATTTATAATTCTACTCATTTCTCTCTCCTTTATATAACACACTATCATTTTTCTTATTTCTCATCTAATTCTAACTTAGTAAAGTTCACCGGGACGGAGGTAATATTATCTTTATTCTAAACTAGAAGATTGAAAAAAAATTGGACACCTAAATTATGAAATTGAGATAAGTCTTTTTCCTGATGTCACTAAAATTTGAATAATAAAGTGGTATATTTAAGAGAAAAGAATGGTAAAATATGAGTTGGGTGTAAGATTATTTGTCAAAAGATGAAATATAACCTTTATTTTGAGATAATCGAAAAGGTAAATAAGTAACTTTTACTTCAGGGTGAAGGTGGACTTGGATACGTAGTAATGGTAGTAGATTATAAAAAATAATGAGTTGTTTGATTAAAATAATTTTTTGACCAAAATTTAACTTTGTATAAATAGTAATCATAATAGTAACTTTTAGTTACTATCGGTATGCGAAGTACACTGCAATATCCATAAATGTATACAACTAGTAATTTTAGTCTCATTTTTTAAAAGGAAATGTAATATTTTATTTAAGAAAAACGAACAAGAAAAAGTAAAAGGTACAAGTCAAAAGGAGAAAAAGAGAGGAACATAAGTACGAAATCCAAACCCTAGATACACAGATGCCCGTATAAAAAAAAATCCTAGCTCCCTAAGCCTTCAATGAAAAACATTGACGTTGTGCACAAGTTTGAGATCACGTCCTCGGTGTGAATGTTGACATCTCTTTCCGTAAGTTTTTATCTGCATGTTCACATTATTCGTATGCAAACAATTATCCCTCGTCCCCAGCGATGCCTTGTTACAAATATTATGGCTAGTGTCAAAATCCCATAAATCCTCCACCGTCGATATAGGAGTGCGCTTTTCGTTCTCTAAAGTGTGGTCTGAGAAGATACCCATTGAAAAGCCCGGTTTCCAACCTTCATGATAAAAAACATCCGAGTGCTCAAAAATAAAACCAATCGAAGTACTTGTGTTAAACCTGGCATTCCTCTTATCATCACCCTTCTTATCAGCACCCCCTTGTTCACCAAGAAGCTCATCCTGATCTGAAGAGGTTTGGTCATTGTACGCTCCATGACTCTCGATAAGGTGTGATATTAGTTCATATTCTTTGGAGAGAAAGACCGACAAATTAGTCACACTCGAATTCATTATATCCTGGAAAAATAGCTTCAATTCTGAAATAGAAGAGCAAGGTGCAACACAAATTTGAGAATTGTCCAAGGGGAAGTTGTATGAGAAGAGTTGTGTGAGAAAAGCCCAAAGTATTGACAATACACCAAGCATTTACAAAATCAACATGCACTAAGACACCTTAGATAGTGAGCGCTTCTTAGTCACATTTTCATGAATAAAATTTTAAATAAAATGTTACATTTTAATCGTATTAGATCAAAACATATCTTAAAGTCTTAAACATTCATATCACACAACCAATCGAGTTTTGATACTATTTTAAGTTTAAAATAATTACTAATTAAACTAAACCACAATACTCCAATAATTTCAAAACTCAAATTAAATTATACTCCGTATAAAATTATATGATTCTTTTTCAAGAAGCTACATTAATTAAGTCAAAGTTGATACCAGATATAAAAAGGAATTATCTTCTCATGACATCAATAGAACATAGAAACATTTGGTCTAGCCGCATACACTCTCTAATGTCATCAATGATAACTCCAAAGAAAATAAACTTGCATCCGCCTAAATCAATCTGACAGTGGTCAACGAAATCGGTGAACAAAGTAGGGTGCCAGAGTCACTAACTGTCAATTTCACTATGGTGGCAACGATAATGGCGGTGGCGGTCATTGGAGTGGCTAGAAGGCATTGACGAACTATTAATTATAAAAATGGAATATCATAATAATAACAAATGAAATATTAAATAAGGTCTTAAATGATATGGTAAGTCATATTTTTAGAAAATTTCAAGACAAGTCAATTTTTTATCTTTTGAATCTAAATAATATTGATAAAAAGGCCAAAATAATATGCCATAAAAAGTAACTTTTTATATGTTCAACTAGGGATGAACCGGGACTGGGTCAGGCCGGGCTCCGGGCTGGGACTGGGCGGGCTCGAACCTAAAAATTTCAGGGCCGATACCGGCCCGGGTTTGTACCGGGGCAGGGCCGAACCAGGCCTAAACAGTACCGGGTCGAGACCGGGTCAAGACATGACTAGGCAATAAATTAAAAAAATAGTGCAATCAGGCCCGGGATCAGCCAGATCAGGCCCAAAAAAAATGAGCCTGAAACTCACCCTTATAGCCACCAGGCCAGGACCGAGCCTATACATTAGCAGGCCGGGCCTAAATAGTATCGGGCTCGAGTCGGGTCGACCCATCCCAATCCATCCCTATGTTCAATACTTGAAAAGAAAAAATGAAACTAATACATGATATCAAGTGTCCCAAGGAATATTTTAAATTCACTTAACATGTTAAATTAAATACGTAGTACGGAGTAGTATTTTATTAATTGTTTCCCTTAACTTACCTTTTTATTTAACCAAAACTCTCATTGAACAATGAAATTATGAAAGGTTAATCTTACCTAGTAACACACTAACACGTAATTGACAAGTTTAGTAACGAAATCCCAGAATTATTACAAAATTATAATCTAATTAACCGATTGGTATAATAATTTAAACACTAAAATCAGTTTGTTGCTAACAAAACTCTGATGATCTGCGCTTCTATTTTCAATGTTTTGCACCATATAGTGATAGTTGGGGACTTGGGGTAAAATGCATAAAGGTACTTGGTAGTGTTACATTTTGGTACTTCAACTCTGTGCATGAAACTGACCAAAAAATCATGTGGCAACAGGATTCCTGCGAAGAATCCACTTTACATGATTTTTATCCATATCATCATTGTATGGTGGACTCTGTGCATGAAACGTAAACTTGAAATGGATTAAAAATACTTCTGCATGTAATTTTCAAGCACTAGTTAATCAAGAAACGCAAGCTGATATTAATAGATTGCTACAAATATCAGCAGCTCCAAAAAAAATTACTTTACAGTCTAATTTGACCTCAAAGCTCCATGGCAAGGGTAATGATGCTTTTCATTCATCTTCCCAGCCACCAAGCCGCACCCCTGGGTCATAGTTGGTGAACAACCTAAACTCATTGCCAAGTTTGCTGCTGTGTTGAGGCCTAAACCTGCAAGGACGCAAATTCAATAGCTGTGCAGCCCTGTCCTTTTGCACTTCACCTAAAGGCGTAAAAAGCAAGTAAGAAACTTAGAAACAGTTTACTATTTATTGAAAGCAAGCAAAGAATGACCAGTGTTAAAAATCCAACATCGTACCAGTGAGTAGAAGTACATATGATGGTCCTGATCTCAAAAGAAAAGATATAGTTTTGCTGACTTTCTCCAAGCACTCCTTACTCTGTCCAACAAAACCACAAGATCAAGAAACCACTATTGCCTTGTACAAAGTAATATACTCCCTTCTGTCTCTTAAAACTTTGCCAACATTAAGAGTCTGTGTGGTAACATTTATTTTCAGCTTATCAACCTTATTCGTAAACATTTTTCCTAACACATAAGTTTTGATATTACGCGCTGAATTGTGTTATAATCAAAATAAGGTCGGAGTTACTTTTTTTACTGGATTGGCTATAGTTATTGCAGAGGACCAATGTGGTTTTTTTTCATACAAATTTTCCATAGTTCAGCAGATTCAGCCACTTAAGTCGGCATTTCATCAATTTCCGCAGATACAGCTGATTCAACAAATTTCATTGTTACCAAACGGGCTCTAAAAAAACACTGTCAATGTTTTGGCGGGTTGCGTCCTTCCTGCCACATGCATGGAGAATATAATGCGACGACAATGAGTTGAGATGTTTGTAATTGTCACGTTCCACTACAAGATTGATATTGTAAAACAAATATGCAAATCACAATATAGGACCAATTACTATTATTATTATTACAAGTAATAGTATTAGTAGTATCATCATCAACGTTGCAAGAGGCATAACATGTATATGTGTCAAGTGTCTTCTTCACGTGGGTATCAAATTTCAAAAAAACAATATTTTAAACACACTTCATCCTCAATTCCGACACAATTTAACTATGCATCCAGTTGAGGTATATCTATATTTAATACTCCCTACATTCCATTTTGTAGGATACACTTTCCTTTTTTATTTATCCCAAAAATATGAACAATTTTCTAATTTGAATTTTAGTAACTTTTTACGTTCTCACTTTATCCTTTTATCTATCTTTTCAGCTTTTACTTTTTGTGGAACAATACTAAAGCTCTTCACTTGGGAGCTTACAATTGTAAAACAGCAAATATCCACCTTACTTAAAACTCAAGCCGAACTTAAATTCATCTTGCATTTTGGGACGAAGGGAGGTTTACTTGTGCAATTCAAGGTGTGTTGTGTCTCATTTCGGTGCAACCTAGATGATAACAAATCCAAAATTTACATCACATAATCAATGCATGTTGATTGCAAAATAGACAGATGTGACATGATGATAGAACTAAGAATCAACTACTCATTTATTTTTTTATGAAACAAGTCCATGGATGGAGAGGATAATATTTTACTCCCCCCGCATTAAAGATTGCTACATTAGGCTTTCACACATTATTTAAGGAGGAAATAGTAGGGGTAATGAATAGAATGAGAGAGGGTGAAAAGGTATGAAAGAGAAGATAAAGTGTAGAAAAAGTAAGCGTAATTGAGTATTTTTAAGGGAAAAACTTACCAAAAAGGGAAAGTGTAGCAAATTTTAAAATATGGAGGGAGTATGTATTAAGAAATTGCCCTAACTAGGAGTAAAATGTTTGTTAATTCCAAAAAAGGATTGTCACGTTTTTATTCTCTAAAAAGGAGCAATTACTGCCATGTTTTGGCATTACCAGACATAAAAATGGTAACTTGACAGTAATTACTCCTATTTAGGAAATAAAAACATGGCAGTCTTATTTTGGAATTCCAAAACGTTTTTACTTTTATTTCAAAGATTTTCCCTTATGTATTGACTATAGTAAGGACTGTATTTTCATTTATAAGACATTGAGAAGCGGATTTCGAGATGATCAGATAACCTTGGGAGGTTTTTCTTGAAATACTTTTGATAGTTTATATTCAAGAAATTACCTTTTGCAATTAGAGAAATACCCACCAGGTTTGATACTCTAAATCACGTAGAGGTTCAAAAGTATAGCCCATTTCTTGTCTCATATTTGAAGGGGCATCGGTGTTCAAAAGTAACCTACTAACGGTGTCAGTAACCACAACAAGTCATGTTTGGTTATATCCCTTGAGTGCTATGTAGATGTATTCTATCGCTAAGACTGAAATAGAAGCCTTCTAAGGCGTTCATTACCTCCGGCCTTATCATTGTTATAGTCTCAAAAAGAATGCAATATGGAAATAGTTAGTCTTAAAGATGACCTTATCAAAGTATCTCATGGTGTATGCCACCAACTCATTGGTGTAAATCAAGACTGTTGGTAAATTATTTCATGATTACAAACTAACATCACAAGGAAAATTTGTACGTTCTTTAACAATCACATCTTATTTAAAAAGTTACTTTTGCACCTACTTCTAATCGAATCAAAACCTAGACTTTTATAAATATGGTATACTGGGTGTTTTGCCAATTACTTGAGTAACAAACTAACCCTCAACATAGAAAGCATCCCATGCCAAGTTACATGGAATGACCTACAATGAGCATGAAGCTAGTAGATTGCTATCACTTAAGGCATGATTACCACTACTTACCAGGTATGGAGGGTCAGCAACAATGACTGAATATGAATGTTTCAATGAGGAAGCGAGATCTTCTGGTGTGTTGTAGTCGTAGAATGTGAACTCAGATCTGTATGAACTGAACCTTTGGTCATACTCAAGGAGCTGTGCTTGGACATTAGGATCACTTTTCTGAAATCATGTGCAAATGATAATCAAATGCCAGATAAGCATAAGGTTATATCATGAAGCATCAAACATTTAAGAAAATGATTGGACACGTGATTTGAAGCAAGAGCAACATAATTGATTGCTCACTTTCTTGTGCAAACAACTTCAGTTGCTACTCCAAATATGGAGGGAAGAGGTGAAGAGCTCATTAATTACTTTATAGTATAGCCATACAATTATACACCAAGTGAAAGTTTAAATCTTAACATCTGTGGTCTGATATTTAACATATTTTACACATCTTAAAAATATTTCAAAACCGTATTCTACCTGTTGAAATATCTTAAAAAAATTCCCTCTTCCTAGGATCATTGATCATTGTCTACTGCTTTCTTAATCATGTAACTACTAACTATGCTCAGTGTTCACTAATGCCTTAAGCATTTACATTTATCCTTATGAATTTACTAATATAAGATTTGGAATCTATATATAGGGGAACGTTTTGTACTCAAGAGCTAAGCTTAATAATCAGATAGAACTGAGCATTTAATAAAAGTTCTTATATCATTTTTCACAAAAAAATGTAAGAACTGAACTTTAAAAGCAATAATTGTTCTTCACACGGTCTCTTAATTTTTTAGGGAACTAAACTTATAAGAACTAAACATGGCATGGGTACGCCAGAGTACCCTCCCCCCCCCCCCCCCCTCCAAAAAATGGTGTTGATATTGGGATACAGCACAGGGCATAATGCAAGATGGGTATGGGAAAAGCTTTCCATTGGACCCTACCACAACCCCACTATATATAGGACTCTAATATGAATTACTCCAAGGTAGACTCCTATCATTCTTTTATAAGTTTTCTTACTTTCCTCAAATCCCTCTCTCATGGAACCTTCATCTAAAAATATGGTGTTAGGGGCCGTTTTTTTATGTAGCATTGAAGTGATTGAACAACTTAGACTTGATTTATTTAGAGTTTGTTGTGGCTTTTAATTTCTCACGTGAAATTGTAATTCTTATTTTCTGAACATTGTGAATCTAACACTGTGTGTAGCAGCACCTGAACCACTGTTTTTACAAAACAAAACACAAAAATGTATCATGTACAACAGGTACAGCAGGCATTAGGCATCACGTTATTTTGTTGGTTTGTTGGGAGGGAGGGAGGGAAGAGGATGTTAATGTACCTTCCACTATAGAAAACTCAACTTGGAAAAATAAGGGAAGGGAAGAGGAGATGGAGAACTTTGTTTCTTCTTCAAAAACAATTCTTAAATAATTGAAGGGGGTGAGCTTTTTCTCTCATCTCCCTCCTCAAGCCTCCAACCCAAACACAACATATCCATAAAGAAGCACCAATGTATTGGCAAATGAAATTGTACCTTAAGGTAGGCGAATAGCGTTGGGCACGAAATGCAAGCAACGGATGGGGAATCGAGTGTCTCGCAAAGCGTGAGAATTTCTTTTGCCACTGTCCCCGCGGTTTCCGAGTCGTACCAGAACTGGCTGAGCCGCCAATCCTCTGTCACCAAGGCCACTTCCTGCTCCGGCTGCTCAACTGAAGAAGCCTCTGCTGATACTCGGTTCTGCTCAGCAAAGAACTCCTTGAGAGCTTCGAGAGCATGAGAGCTCAGCTGCGGAACGTCATCGTTGCCGGCGTCGTCCTGCGGTAGCGCGGAAGGGTTCGTCGCTTCCACAGTTTCCATTTTGCTCCGGTTTGGTGGTTAGATATTCCTTTTTTAGTACAAGTTGATAGGGCTAGTTTTAAGAAATGTGTTGGTGTTTGTGTACCGTTCATCGTAATGATCTGAATTACGATAAGTTGATCTGAATCCTAGCGATATACTATGGGTCCATAAAAGTTACTTTCACTTTTACCGATGGACAATTTTGATTTTAAGTGCAATTATATTTATTTACGTATTAGTAAACATTAAAAAAGTTAATGTATTGGAAATTTATTACTCCCTCCGTCCCCCTATTATTGTCTCATTTCCTATTCACTTGGTCAACACAAATCACTCTTAATCTCTTACTTTATTTATCAAATTTTTATCAAATTTGATTCTGGTTTTTGCGACTTTGTAAACCTTTTAATGTAGTTTCTGAATATGCAATTTTTTTTCCTAAAAATAATTCTAATGCGGACAGGGATCTGTTTGCTTTATTGTCAGTCAAGCATCGTAAACCGTAATGGGACAATAACAGGGGGACGGAGGTAGTAATATTTTGTATATAATGTTTTTATTATATACTCCCTCCGTCCCGCTAACAATGGGACAAGAGGGAGTGACATGCAAATTAATAAAAAGTGGTTTATGTGGTTGATATTAAATTGATAAAGTAAGAATAAAGTAAGAATGATTTAGAGCCACACAAACTTTACCAAATTTGGTATGGGACAATCTTAGTGGGACGGACCGATAAGGTAAAATGGGACAATCATAGCGGGACGGATGTAGTATATTATTAGAAAATCGTAGTCAAAGTAAGGTGTGTGAATAGTATAGAAATTCCAATGTTGCAACTTTTATGGAACGGAGGAAGTATTATAAGTTGGTTTTCTTTCAAAAAAATCTTTATTACTACCTCCGTTCCCATTTTAACTTCTAAATGGGTTTGACACAAAGTTTAAGATAGTGGATATTGTGTGGTGGAGAGTTGTGCAGAGAAGAGAGAAATGTGTAAGAAATGTTGTGAACCACAAATTCTTTACCAAAAAGGGAAAGTGGAAGTTTTAATTGGAACGGACGAAAAAGGAAAGTTGGAAGTTTATTTAGGAACGGAGGGAGGAGGGAGTATGTAGTTTGTATCAATGAAGTTCCTAATTTCCTATGTCATTTTTATTGTTGAATTGACCATTAATGTTTAACAAATGTTTCAAGACAATTATGATCAAACAAAACGTTTCAAGACTATTAATTTAATTTATAATTAGGGCAAATTCCTTAGAGTTCGGGATTTTTTCTATCGTAAAAATGTCCAAATATACTAGGTCTAACGTTGAGAAATTTTTATTTTATCCAACTGTATGTGGCCTACAAAGATGATTGCAAACATGATAGCACAAAAAAAATTGAACAACAAGAAGAAGATATTGACTCTATTTATATCACACATTTCTTGTACAGTTAACTCAATTAATTGAACATACTACAGAAAGGAAGATTAGAAACGTAATAAACAAGCATTTCAGCTCATCTGATTGTGAGGAAACCATACCTAGTAAGATGTCTCGAGTTCGAAATCCGCTAGACACATGAAGGTTTGAAATTAAATGGAGTGGATTTCAACCCTAATTACCCCAGCTCCCTCCCCCAGACGCCCCTAGAGTAAAAAAAAAATACTACTCGTATATAGAAACATAATTAATTTATTCACATTATTGTTACTTAGTCTGGCATTGTACGTACATATCTTTACATGTTATTATCTAGACTTTATCTCCTACTATTGTGTAAGTAGTTGAGATATAAACTTATCCCTTTAGTCTTTAGAGCATAGTCCATACGTGTATATATAGTGTTGGACTCGGGTCGGGCCACCCGGCCCGTGGACCGGCCCGGTTCTCGGGTTCGGGTCCGGGTCAGGCCTAGGCCCGGGGGGGTAGGGCGGGTCTGGGCTCGGGTCTCACATTTGACGAACCAGCCCGAAGGGTAGGGTCGAGTTGGGCTTGATGGTTAGGATGGGTTTGGGGGGGTTTGGGAGGGTGGGGGTGAGGGGGGTTAGGAAAGCAAAAACAAAAAAAAACAAACCGGAGGCCCGGCCCGGACCTGGTGGCTACCCGGGCCGGTCTCGGGTCCATCATTCCTGAATCGCCAGCCCGCCCAGACCTAGGCCCGACCCGAACCCGGCTCGGACCCGAGTCCACCCCTATGTATATATGATCAATTGCACTCCTCTTCACATCAATTGAATATATCACTATTATTCCACATACTTTTATATATGGACAATTATTACCGAGCATCCTGTCTCCTAAGTAGTATTTTAATGGTTACATGTGAGGTCTAACTTCACAAGCTTCAATCAGATCCAAGAGCATCCTCAATGGCATACAGTTAACATGTTAAATGTTTTGACACATGTCAATTAATAAATGGCATTGTCATCCACCTAATCTTAGAATGGTGGAGATGGACATTAAAATAAAAAATCCATGTGCAACGCTTGATGTCAACAGCCCATTAAATCACTCCCGTGTATCCCATATATTTTTCAAATTGAAATACCTCATATTTAATCAATTCACTCTTGAACCTCAAAAACCCTACCAGATGCGCCAACTTCCCCATATGACCGATCAAAATCAACAAAATGCTCTGCATGAATAAAACGACCCCTGCGTTTTAAATTTTACACCCACTACAAGCGTTGAATCCATAAAGGTAATGCATTTGTGTATCAACACGTGTTTCATCTATATTTATTAATTTTAATTTCTGCAAAATTCATTTATTAAAGGAAATCTCCAGAAATGAAAGGAATCTATAAACCTAACAAACAATTAAATCAATTGAAGAAGATATATTTATTCCCTTGGTCTCTGCAAAACTATACGAGGACTCCCAAAAGCTTTACTCCATAGAGGGAAAGGTGACGTGGGAGGGAATTTTTTCGCAGTAGGTACTTGAAGCGTGAATGAATGTTTTGGTGGACAAATTTTATCATGAGCAGGAGTTCTATATTTTGGGGCTGTTTTGGACACTCCGTATTGATTTTTGCTCAATCAGCATGTAGAGGGTGCTCTTAAATGAAGACTACAATGTCAACAATGTCAAAAAAAGAAATTGACATGTTAGCATAACAGGCAGGTTAACATATTGCCTTGGAGATAAACTTTTTACTCCAATGTTAAATACGGCTGACGTAGCCCATATTTTTAATGTCAACCGCCTCACGTTAAAGATGCTCTAAGCCCATTAACTCTTTCTACCATTATGAGTTTTATGACTGCAATTTGGAAAGATTAGATAGTTCCATAAAAAAAAGAGTAATAGAAAAAGTGAAAAATAATTGGATAATTTATAATGCCCTACCACGCTATCACGTACCACCTACTCTCAACTTTTAACTTTAAAATGTTTAATTTAAACTGACTTGTCACTTGAAAAAACTGGTTGAAACACATTTTTAATCATTTGCAAACACTACCTTAACATAGATTAGCTATTTTAAAAAACTATACCAAAAGTTGGAATCCCTCCATTCTAAATTTGTTGGCTGCCTAATCATAAGTAGGGTTGGACTCGGGTCGGGCTGGGTCGGTTCTGGGCCCGGCTGGTCCGACTTCTGAAAAAGTGAAGCCCAGTACCGGTCTGGTTTGCTCCGGTACCGGTTCCGGTCTAGGCCCAAACAGTATAGGTTCCGGGTCGATACCCATCCATTCAATTAAAAAACTAAAAATTGCCATTGGGCCCAGACTAAGCCCAGGCCCGTCCGGGCCAAAAAATCAAGCCCGAAGCCCAGCCCTTATAACCAACGGTCCGGGTACCGGGCCAGTACAAACCCTGTAAAACTAGTCCCCAACCGGTACAAACAATACCGATGATCCTGAGTCGGTCCCGGGTCAGGCCGCCCGAGCCCAATCCATCTCTAATCATAAGGCTCCATTTAGGACAAAGTTCATATTTCACATTATATTTAAGAAATAATCATTACGTAGTACTCCGTAATACATAACTTGATAACTAGATGTGACTTTTATACTATCTATGTAATTATCATTGTAATAACTTTAAATGGATTTATTACGTTCAATTTTACACATCAATAGCTGTGAGTGTATGCACATAGTAACTTCAAATCTTCAATGAGTTCCTTGTCCATATATTTTATTTTAGTATTTTAGGAAAAACACTATAATGATTAATGCATACTCGTATTAAAAATCACACTTAGAGCGTTTTTAAATCATAAAACTAAATTTACAATGTGATTAAAACCCGGATAGTTAAAAATAGAAATTTAAAAATAGTGCTTACGAGACAAGTAAATTGGAAGAGGTAGCATATGAAATTTTTATAGATAATGTTCAACATTATATTACTCAGGCAGACAGTGTTTGAAGTCAAACCTTCGGAGGGAAGGGAAGGGAAGCCCAAGCATAAGAAAAATCAATGAAAAGAATTTTGAGAAATGCGGTAATAAATTACAAATTTCTGTAAAATTTATACACGACGCCTCTGTGAAAGCTATTAAGCGCCCTTGTTGCTATTCCACGGCTTGAGGACGCCAACCACAATGATAGCAACAATAATGAGGAGGACAATGATAGCTATGCACATCCATTTTCTGGAATTTCGTTGCAATTTCTTAGCCTTCTGAAGTGCAACATTCCCTGACTGCACATGATCAACTGCAGTAGAAACCTAAAATTGGGGCACCACGGGGTAATGAGGATCACGACAGGGACATCACTCACCGGCACTTATGACTCTAGGAAGAAAATTAATGAGTTGCTACTACCTGAGATTCTATATTATCAAGCATGTCTCCTTGGGCAACAACCAGCACTGCCATGTCCAAGAATATCTGTATAGCAGAATGTGATCATTTGAGGAAGAAAACTTATTAAAAGCATAGCAATTTTCTTCAAGTTCACAATTGTCCAACTACGTATTTTAAACCGTCCAACTAATTTCATAAACACCATGTTTTTTTTTACTCCATGGGGCGTCTGGGGGAGGGGGGCTGGAGGGCCTGTAGTAATCAGGGCTGAAACTTGAGTTTCAAACCCTTATGTGCCTAGCGGGTTTCGAACTCGAGACCTCTCACTAGGCACGGTAACCTCACAACCATGT